AGGACAGGAGTCCTCAGCAAGCCAGGGAGGTGACTGCACAAGCCTGGCTTTCCTGAACTGACCCACCTTCACTGCCTCCAACTCCGCTCCTCCACTAGTCGCAATGGTGGGACCGTTCGTGTAGACCAGCCGCCAGCATCTCAAACAGCTCCACGCAAGCGTAGATGACCCAGGGTGCCAGGAACCGGGGTGTGGGCGGCCAGGTCCAGCGGTTGGAGCCGTAGGCGGTCAGGCTTGAGGGGTCGACCCAGAGTTGGTAGCTGGGGTCTGGAGCCAAGGGTCAAGCCAGAATCAATCGCCATGAACCAGAGGTCAGGGTGAGGAGACAGACCCAGCCTTGTTCCTATCTCAGCTGCAAGTCAGACCTCCTTGTTGCATAGACAACCTCCTGCTACTCCCTCCAGGCTTAAATAGTAGGTCTGGGCAAATGAGAGCTCACGGGAGGAGCTGCCAGTCATTTCTACCATGGGCAGCACTTCCTGCAGTGACTGGTCTCCCAGGATGTAGGCAGAGCCATGGTCCATGCACCCAAGGCTGCCTGGAGATGCCGCCTGCCCAGGGCCCCATAGGTCTGGGTTCAAGAACCATGAATCCTCACCCAGGGTATGTCCACACTTCACTCAGATGTGTGACTGCACCCCATGTAGTTCGGGTACCACCAGCAGTGAAACCAGGGCAGGAGTTGAGAACGGGCACCAGGGGATGGATCACTTGATGATTACCTGTTCTGTTCATTCCCTCTGGGGCACCTGGCACTGGCCACTGTTGGAAGACAGGATACTGGGCTAGATGGACCTTTGGTCTGACCCAGTCTGGCTGTTCTTATGTTCTTCTGGCAGCGTGGGCTTCGGTGCAGGCTAGCCACTTGACACCCGTGCTTCTGGGGCTTGGCTGCTGTTGGTATGTGAGCGAGCTAGAGCAAAGCTAGTGGATTGCAGTGGAGACAGACCCACTGTGGTTAAAACGCTGGGGCGGGTAGGGCCCTGTGGAGTACTGTGCTGGGGCTTGCAATGGTGGGAAATGGTAGGACAATAAGTCTAGTGTAGGCAAGGCCAAGATTTCAGTAAGCCGTAGCCCATCATGACTCATGTGCAGGGC